CTAGCCTCCTCCTATAGTTAACACTAAGCACTGTTCCAAGTCACTGTGACTTGGAATCTGGCAGCAACTACCTTGGCTTTAATTATTTTTAAAAAAATTCTTTCCTTTTCCTCATGACTGGTGAGGCCACGCCTCCCCTGCCTCTAGTGACTGCACATCCCTGTTGTAAATCGAGGTCTACTTGTACATACAAACACACACTTGAAAAGGAATCCCTGTTACAGAAGAAGTAAAGTTACGGCTGTCCTTCAGGCTATGAATACAATATCAGAATAATCTATTACTTCTGATGCTGTAGCAAAGTGGTCAAATTTAGATCACAGAGCAGAGTGCTCTTTGAGTTAATCAAGCTGTCAGGATAATTATGGTGCAATTTTAATGATTTGCGATTTCATGGTAGGCTGCCTTTGACTGTTTAATTCTGAATTTTACTACAATACCACAAAGTCCAGATTGAATTGTTCCTTTCAACAAATGCTGAAAACACTGCGATGTATAACAAAATAGAACAGAATTGGCTATTTTGTTAATTCTTTTATACCTGGTAGATGACAGAAGCTCCAAGTACTTGCCAGTTAAAATTCAGAAGAAAGCATATAGTACTAAAATGTTCTGTCTGTTCATTTGTAACCTTTAATCGGGCAATGTGGTGTATTCTAGGGCAGCAATTTTTGGACCAGGATACCTCAAATAAGCTACCTTATAGAATCAAACCAGAATCTCGGATCCATTATTCCTATGGGATTGAAATTTGCAAAGCCGTGGTGGCCTCAATGCCATATTACTTTTCTTAGAAACCCACAATCTGCATGGTGTAAGGGAAGATGAGAAGAGTGTATACCTGCCCTGATTCCTGCCTCCCTTTTGACCTTGTGCCCCATCAGCTGGCAGCAAGGCCTGATGGGCAAATGAGAGTTTGGCTGCTTTGGAAGTGAAGCCAAAATTTGAAATGTTTCAATGGCAGTGGTGGTGAGGGAATTTAGATTCCTGCTGCATAGGGCTAGTTGGAGGGCACCTTGGATAGAAGGGAACTTGGGAAATACACCAGGAGAGGAATACTATCAGTGGAGTTTTCCTTGTGGTCTGCAGTTCCCTTTGTTTTTCCTATACTGAGCAAAGTGGTAGGCAGTTCCATGTCAGCTGAGGAGGCAGAAGAAGAGGAAGCTTTACTGGGACTCTGCTGAGAGTCATGGTGGGAGGGGAAACAGCATCAGTCTATATGTTATATCTTGAAAGAACGATGGCCCAATGGGTCATGGATTGTCTAGTGATCTCTACAGGGAAGGAGGGGACACCTCTGTTAACAAGTGGCAGCACTACCCTCCTCATCTGAAACCCAAGAGGTCTCTAACCTTTCGGCTGGGCTGTCTGGCTCAATGAAACGGATGAGAGGCGGCGAAGAGAGGGTTTCGGTAGCAAAGATCCCACCCTGGAGCTGCAGTCCAAAGCCGTTCAAAGGGTCTCCTCTTAAAATCACCTCTGTTGTTTCTGTATGAACAATCTGCCCACCAGGACCCACAGTGCTGGAAGCTAATGATACTGAAACAAGAGAGGGACACAACCAAGTTAGCACTTTAAGGAAACACTGGACACTTCATTTTCCAAAGAGAAACTTAGAAACCAATTTTATGAGGGAGACAAGTCAGCTCAAAGAAACTGCCATCAATCTTAACAAAGCTCTTTGGAGAGAAGGGCTGCCCCCTCGGATAAGAAGATATGTGTCCGCCTGCACCATCATTCCTCTACCTCTCTTCTTAGGTAGCTAGAAGAAAGTATGAGAAAAAGTCTAGATGAGAAGGAAGAGTTCTGGTGAATGAAGGCGAATATACGTGTCCCAGGATAATATTGAAGAATCCAATCTGGGTCGGTCACCAGGACCAGAGGTTTTATCTTTCTTCTGGGCTTTTGGACTTGTGCTGAAGATGGGCTCCAGCACAAGTCCAAAAGCTCAGAAGACAGAACCTATGGTCCTGATGAATGACCCAGATTGGATCTTGCAAGAGTTTGGAGGAAAATTTAAAGGGAACTAACAAGAATTTATCACCATGATCATGATAAAATGGACATATTGCCCATTCCCTTTAATTCCTCAAAAAAGGGGGAAGAATTTTGAAGATGAGCCTGAATAATCCTGCAAGAACTTGTGATCCTTACATGAACTTTTGTGCTCCTTCTTCCTTTGTCTTCTCCTCATCAGTGTGGCCCGTGGGCTCATGGGATGATTGCTTCGAGGTAGAGTATTGGAATTCTGGTAGGCCAACCCTGATGTGTTCATGGTGGGAGATGCAAAGTTGGAAGCTACAAGAGCTAGATAAAAGACAAAAGAAGCCATTTTAGTATTTGATGTGAACTCCTACTTGTTCAAAGCAATTGAATCCAATTCTCAATTATTAGTCAAAAAAGAAAATATGTCATTTTGTGTCCCAGTTTTACTAACACATTAATAAAGATGAGTAAATAGCTGATCATACTTTTCCCATTCCCAGAGTATCTTACTAAATATTACTAAATTAACAATCTTCCAGCCTTGATTTTAGCATCTTTGCTGACCTACACAAATATTTAAATTTGCCAAAATAGAAAGGGTTTTCTCAAATCTTATGCAGAGTATAGAGATTTCCTTTTTATTCTCATTCTTTTAGAAATAATTGGGAAAAACTGAACTCTTATACCACATACTGTGTCTCAAGGACAGGACAAGGAAGAGATTTGCAAGGAGTACTGAGAATGGTAAAGAAAATGCACTTTTGGAAGGGAGGCGGGTCTGACGTCGCTACAACATGACATGCAATCTTGGGGCTCCAGGATTGCTGTTGATATCTCTATTGCCGGACGGTCCTTGGACCTAAACCGTCCTGTAGAGACGATGATAGATAAGGGCACATCCTGCTGATCTCAGGGACATGGCAAAGTCCCTGATTGATACAGGAAAAGCTTTTTTTTCCAGCTACAAGAGAAGCAGCTAATGAAGCTGCACAACATTGGTACAGCCCCCTGCAACAGAAGCAGAGCAGGAGAGAGTGTGTGTTGAAAATGGTGAGATAAATTTTACTATTAGAGAAGGGAAAACCCCAAAAGACTTTGAGTAAAATTAAAATTGAAGATAGAAGAGAGTAAGCGGTGAATTAGCCTGAATTAAAACTATTGTGTTATCTTTTTTTCTTTAATCTCGTTTCTTTTTTATAAATTGAATTTTTACAAATGCCTCTTACTTTTAAATTGGACTGGTCTCTTTTTTCCTTCTTTTATTTTTCCTCATTATCTGTATTTGTGGATTAAGAATCTCTTTCCTCTCAATGCTTGGCTGGATCGTAACTCTTAAGCATTTTATGCATTTTTTTTCTTAAGCTTGGAGCTTAGAGAGAGAGGTAAAAGCAGAGGGAAAGGAAGTAACACTGCCATCTAGAGGCTGGAGGCTTGGTTACATCTGATATCTCAAAGCTATTGGCTTTGTTTACTGAAAGGGACAGAGAAAACACGTCTTGTTTATACAGGTGCTCTTTTGGAATAAAGAGAAAGCCTTGACTTGAAAGATTACACTGAATTTATTTGAAACCTAGCAAAAAGTCTTGGATGTCTTACTGGCAGTGTTTACACCCTGGAAAAATGGCACAACATGAGGAAGAAAAGGAATTTACATTGCAAAGAATTATGCTAAAAATTCAAAAAGTCCTAATAAGCACAGAAGGAATTAAGAAGGACTTGAGATTATAGAACAAAGAACAGAAAGAATGGAGGGAAAAGTTGAGAATATTGATAAAACAATGATGAATTTGAAAATAGAGTTCAAAAAATTCCAGAAAAATATGAACAAAGTGATAAGAAAATTATTGATATTGACAGCAAACTGCGAGTGGAGGGAAATTAAACAAGTGGAACATTGAAAGGAGAGGTTGATAAACTGGATCTCTATCTCAGACCTCAAAACATGGAAGAAGAAAAGGGAGAAAATCTGGCAGAAACAATGAGAGTAATTTTGGCAGAAGCACCAGTGATAACCAAAGGCAAGCTGATGGAAGGAACAGATGGAAGGTTTCAAGTCTTTAAAAGATATGCAATGAACAACAAGTTGCCAAGAGAAGTCCACATGAGATTTATCCAGAAAATAAATAGAATACAGACTTTCCAAATGGCAAGAGATATTGGACAGCATTACTATTGGAAGGATACAGGATGATGAAATGAAATGTTACAATAAAAATTAAGTTAAACTTAGTTAAATTTTGAGTATTATGTATAAGACAAAGTAATAATAGTTATAGTCTAATAAATGATTATCAATGATAATAATGCACTTATATACACTAGATTGATAATATGAAATTTTATATAAACTGTAAGTGGAAATATAAAGATGTAATACCATTGGATGATTTCAGGATAATGTAATGAAATGCCATAATATAAATTTATTTTAAATTTAGCATGCTTCGCATTAAAAGGATGTAATAATAGTTATAGTCAATGAATGTTTAATAATTATAATAATTGTGTACATATATATTAGATTGATTATATGAATAATGGAATGTGCTGAAATGAGTAAATTGACATATGAAATTAGAGAACAAGAAGATAAACAATTTTATAGGATATGGGATTTATTTTATCAGTGGTTAGATTTTAAAAAACAACAACATGGAATTGAAAATTATTAGAGAATGTTACCAATACCAAAATAATAGAATGATTTAGAATAGGATACAAAAATACTTTATTATTGGATATATTGAAGATGATGTAATGAATTATGATAACATAAATGAACCCATATTTAGAATACCTTGTTTAAAATGAAGAAATAATAGTGAAAGTCAAATAAATGAAGCATTGTAATAATAATGCATATAAATATATCTGATTGATAATATGTGACTTTATATAAAGTTTAAGTGATGATCATGGAAAGGATGCACAAAATCTTTGTAACCAATCGACACACTGTACGGAATGAAAGATGTTTTTTATGTTATGTTTTCTTTTTTTAAAAAAGAAAAAGAAAATGCACTTTTTTCCAAAAGACCTTGAGCAAGTGAGTGTTCAGAAGAAGAGAGAGAAGGTTTGGCAATAGGAAAGGGCAAATCTGGTCCAGAAGAAACGGCTCATTGGACAGATTTTGAGTACACAGAACTGTTTGCTAGGGATTCAGATTGTAATTCACAATTCAGATTGTGACTCCACAGATCAAGAAAATAGAAACATAGGCTACATTACATTTACAATAGTCCTGGCTGATGGTCTGATTCCAGGTAGGTGTCTTGCAATGTCCTGGATGGTGGGTGTGGCAATAGCTGACGCAAGGATCCCAGCAGTGGTGGTGTTCACTCTTCTGCACTTTGACTTTTGCCAACATTAGACAAATAAGGTAACAAAAAGAGAATGTCAAAAATCACAGGCAACTGAAACCAGTTAGTTTGCTCACCACTAAAAGTATTTTAAACACCCATTTGCACACATAAAAACAATAATCATCTGTCAAGACTGCCATTCTGCTAACTTCGCATCGCAACTTGCCAGGTGGACATTAGCAACGGGAGGAGGGAGAAGATCGGAATGTGGGAACACAAGGAAGGGGTTGGGAACCAAGCCATGCCATGCCAAAAAGTGGAATGTACCAATCCAGTCCAAGATCAACCAAAAGAAAGTAGAGATGGAGAATGCATAAACAGAGGGTTTGTTACAGAAACAACATGAAGACAGCTAATTGGACATTGACCAGTAACAGGGGGATGGCCAGGGTAGAAGGGAAAGTTAATTTTATCTTTTGCATGCCAAACTGGCAGATTCCGCTTCGCTACTTCTGTAACCACTTTAGCTTTCAGTAACATATACCCTTGGTAAGCAATTAACCAGGAGTCTTTCTTTGTAACTAGACTAAGTAGGACAGATGACTTCACCCCATGGATAATGAACACAAATAGGAAAGAAAATCCTTAAAATATCTGAGTATTTTTTGGTTGTTGCTTGGCTTGATGTGCTTTGGAGAAAAAAATATTTAACAAGTATACTGAGATATTTGCACAGTGGCTCATATAGTTTATTTGTCTTCCACTTTCAATCTGAAAGAACTCATTTTTCCTGCACTTTCAAAACCACAGGATCAGGGAATAATGATGGTGAAAGGGCGAATTCAATAGCGCCTTTGAGGAAATATATTTCTCTTTTGTGAACTTGCAATAAAGTTTCCTCTTGATAATTTAAGGCACGTTACTCTTCTGTTTCTTACATAAAGTCAGGGTAAGCACTGCTGAATTAAAGAGCACATACTTCTCTTTTTGTTTCTTATTGTGGATCAAACAGTGAACCTAGCTTGCAATAAAGGTAAAGGTCCCCACACACATGTGTACTAGTTGTTTCAGGCTCTAAGGGCGGTGCTCATCTCCATTTCTAAGCTGAAAAGCCAGCGCTCTTCGAAGAAGTCTTCGTGGTCATGTGGCCAGCATGACTAAATGCCAAAAGTGCATGGAGTGCTGTTACCTTCCCACCAAAGTGGTCCCTATTTTTCTACTTGCATTTTTTACATACTTTCAAACTCCTAGCTTGGCAGAAGCTGGGACAAGTAACTCCGTTATGCAGCACCAAGGATTTGAACTGCTGAACTGCCGACCTGCTCATAGACAAGCTGAGTGTCTTAGCCTCTGAGCCACCATATCCCCATTGCTTGTAATACTTCATGATAAGTCTAGAAATCAGACAGTAGAGAATCCTGTTGCAAAGAGCTTAGCCACATTGCCCCAAGAGCTTTAATAAGTACAATGGGTAGTCTACAAAAGTGGGAACAGAAGCTCCTGATGTTACCCAGGGAAATTACTGTTTTAGGTCAAAGGAGTGTGATATAGCTACTTGTCACAGCAGTGTCCCTTGTCAGAGAGCTAGTCCTTCACAATATTGGTACTCCATGAACTGTACTTGAACATTCAATTTATAGAGAGCATCTCATTCATGAAGGATGATTATTAGAGTGTGCAAAATTAAAAGAGCTGGAGTTAAGCTCATGAATAGAAGCCTTCATAAGCACCAGTTGTAAAACAAGACTGGGAAATACAACCCAGGCTGAAACATCTGCCAGAGAACCTAGTCACATTTCCTGATTGTATTCAGAACAACTTCTACAAAATCACCTTCCAAAAGTCTGCAAACATTATCTCTACTAAACAACATCAAGCTAATCCTCGTGAAGTGTTTCCCTACTTCAGAAATAATGTGTAGTGTTAAAAAAAAACAAAAAGAATGAGAAAGTGAGTTAAAAAAAATCTGTGATTTTTCACTTAGAAAACTTCCCTCCAAATTTACTTTGCAAAAAGTTATTTTCATGAAGAGTTATGGATCATTGTAATACAAGCATCTAGAAAACCACTCTTTCTTCTATATATTCGAAGGTTAGAATATTAAAAATGCTGACAAGCCTGGCTTACCAGCTCATTTTAAAAAAAAAGTTGTTATTTAGGAGGTACTTGAGATGAAGACATTCTGATGATTTACAGAACGTAAATCTGTGTTTCATTACGTTTAGAGGATTATGAATTGTTATAGTCATCGTTTTATGCATTGACGCTGAATGATCATTGTTTTTATGACTAGTGTGTTGACACTATTTATATATTGCCATGCTATTTAGAGTTTTAATGGCTGAAGTGGCATGGAAGCTAAGCAAACACATACAACAAAGAAATTCACACCTTGATCCCAAGACATTTTCAAATGCAGCCAATAGGGTACAATTGAGGATAGGGACGCCATTAAGAAAATCACAAATCTTGATATATGAATCATATTAGTGTTCATCAATTAATTACATTCACATAAATGTGCAGATCAGTAGGCATACAGCTACAAAACCAACAGCATACATTGTTTTTAGAATCTGGACATATACCTTGTAACAAATACATGAAAAGTCCCTTTTACCTAAACCATTTTTTTTTACAAAACCAAATAATTAAAATATTAACTAGAATTTGATCTATTCATCAGCTTGGCAGGAATGGCATTGGCTATTCCTTCACTAGTGATTTACAGTGCTTTCATAACATCACTCAGCCATCACTGAAGTGTTATAAATCCTCTGTTCATCGCTATTATTTTGGCACAGTGATGGTTGTCTAGAAGACACTCATTTTCCAAAGTAGAAAATTAATCACACCAATCCACAAGAATCAATAAAAGGCGAGGTTCCTGTCTCCTCCCAGATGGTCTTAGTTTTGCTTTTTTGTGTCCCCCCCCCGCCCCAACGGTATCTAACCCCACATTTCTGTGTAATCAGGATGGTGATGGGTATTTTCCCCCAGGAATACACTTGCCCCAAAGAAACAAATGTATTTCACATGTTATGCTCATCCATAGCACATACCTGTATCCAGAGGCTTGAGGGGAAGTCTACTGTAGTGAGCAGGGAGTATTTCTAGCTTAACAGTTTCTGATGTGGCTGCTAACAGCTGGGTGGCTTCCAACAAGGAACAATGCTCTGTGCTAGTCCCATCAATGGAAAGGATATGATCACCTACATGCAGAGCCCCACATCTGCCAGAGAAACACACAACCACAGGCATATATTGCAGTCACCTGTGGTTAAAAGTAGAGCAATTCAAAATCCATCAAAGTCACACAAAAGTTGATGACTTTGCATCATACATATTCTTTGCCATGTTCTTTGCCCAGATTCAGCTGAAACCTTATTTTTAAAATGCCAGAAATCCAGTTTTGAAGTTTCCTGGTTGAAAAAATCCCCGAAAGAACAGAGGTTTTATCATGAAAGAACATCATTCAGGTTAACTGAACTACAGGTAACCCTTCCCTAAAAATTAAAGAGAATATTTTCACATGGTTAAACAGGATCTCAAATGTATCTTTATCATAAGAATCTAAGGGAACGTTTTAAACAACAAAAAAATGACTGTGGGCTTGTTCTGATTTCATTTTGTTATTTGCCGTTTGCCATTGTTTCTAATAAAAAAGTTTAAACTGTTTGTGAAGACTATATTTGCATATGGCATTTGTAAGAATGTAGCACATATTTCCTATGCAAAGGGAAAAATAGCAACAGCTGATGTAAAATTACAGGAAAATCAGTTTATTAAGTGCGCCTGTTGAAGTATTTGGCCAAATTCTAGTTCAAAGATGACAATGAATACAATTTCAGAAAAGTAGCAGAGTATTACCAAGCAGGTACTGTAGAGATCACAGTTTTGCTCTTCAGCAAGTCACTGTGGAATGGCATGAATGTGAAAAGGAAGTTCATTCATTTTTGGTGATAAAATATGGAATATTATGTAAAAGTATGGAATATTTGGAGTGACTGGGATACCCTGTACTGAATGTTAGTTAGTGGTTGAATGCAATATGGTATTCTTCCAGTTTGGCCTGGTTTGGGCAAATCGGTAATGGCAGCGATGGGAGACTCCACCCACCTGCCTAGAAGTCATCATGGATGCTCTGTGCATGCGCAGAAAAATCTGCAGAGCATTTCAGGCCTGATGTGTAGGATGTAAATTGTGTATAAGGACAAAATGAAACAAGGATGTAAACTGTGAATGAGAATAGAAAGGCAAGGAGGTGTCAATTCCCCTTAGTGTGTTTATAATAATAGCATAAAGAACGCTCATAGTGACATTTCAGGTATTAGTGTGCATGTAAATATTTGTACAGATAACACATATCATTGGCTGAGAACATGAGAACTCTTACAGTGAATGTCAGAGACCATATGATACAATAAGGAATATGGATCTGAAGATTTCAAATATAAAAGTTAGTTGCCTGAAAGGAAAAATGGAGTGAATGACTGTAAATTGCATACAAATAACCAAAAAAAAGGCAAAGTGTTGGCTCTTATACTTCAGGAGGATGTTGAAGCTGAATGGAAAATGGATGGGTAAATGTAGAAAATGTTGGTAGAAAAGGAATGAATAGCAGGCTTGTTGCAGAGACAGAATCTTTGTTGAAAGACAGAAAAAAATGTTTTAAATAAGAGTATGCCTTTACCCATTTTGTTATATGAAAATATGAGCTATCAGGAGAAACAGAAAGAATGGGGACAGAAAGATTCATTTAAGAAACATGTTTAACAAAAGATAAGGTCAAAAACTGAAGGTTGAGAAATGAATTGAGTACAAATGAAGTGATAAATACAAAATAAGTATGTCGCGATGGCTTGGTTATATAGACAGACTGGATGACAATTAAATTGTGAAATACTTTTATGAAATAATAAATAGGTCAAAAGGAAAGGGAAAACAAAGGAAGCCTGTGGTTGGATGAAGTAGATGACATCCTGAGAAAAATATAAATGATAGTTTAAAGAACAAAGAACAATATATAAAGCCCTATATAACATACAGAGAACAAGAATAGTTTGCAAGACTAGAAAAGGAGAAACAGGAACAGTGAAATGTAAACCAGATTTAGTATTTTTTTCTTGTCTTATCTAATTCCTTCAATTTAATTGGTTTTATATTTCTTATTGTTTTTTTTTTTTTTGCAGTAACATGCCTTGCCATAAAAGGCATGCAGTTACCTTTCGATGCAATAGATAAGTTTTTCGAGAACTAATTAATCTGCAAGTGTTCATATTAAAAGTCCAACATCATTTTGCAAATTTTAACAGGGTTAATTTATTTCTGATAAGCCAACTTAGTTAACATTGAACAAGAGATATACTTCATTTCCAATGATATTTTTAAGGGTTTTCTTTTCCCCCCCAGATATTCCACAGTACTTATAAAGATGGTTTCCACTCTTGCAATAGTCTGAAATATTTGGTATGGAAGGGACAACATTCCCTCAGATGTGCCCAAGATAAATTCAGTTCCTTTAAGCACTGCATTATAATCCTGAGGGTTTTTTCTACTGATATAGACATGAAAGCCAACTGGGAGACTTTGGGTCAGTTATTCTCTCTTAGCCCAACCTACTTCACAGGGTTGTTGTTATGGGGAAAATAGGAGGCAGGAGCATTAACTATTCACATCACCTTGAGTCGACAAAAAATAAAGATAGGGTAAAAATCAAATACACAAATAAAGTTTTCCCTTTATGTTAGAAATGTAGTTTGTGCAGAGTAGCACATACAGTGCTGTTTTTCCCCCTCAAGCTTCCTCCGATTTCACCAGAGGAAAAACATCCTAAACAGAAATTAATATTAAACCAAACATATCTGGGAGAACATAATCACAGTTCAGCCTCCTACCTGTCTCCCACACTAGCTGGCTTGATCTTCTCAATGATTATGACCTGTTTATTCCGATGGGTGTTCATTGATAATGTGATTCCTAGGGCAGAGCCGGGAGCCTTTGCAATTTCCACTAGCAAAGGGCCTGACGCATTGGCTACCATATCTATAAATAAAAAAGGCATTTGGAATTAATTCTGCTTAGCTTTTTCCCAATGGGAACATTAAATGTGTTAGGTGGGAATACCAACAGTATTTATGATATGCTGGGCATATATGGTCACAGAGGAGTCTGGATATTATGCAGAACATAATACTACACAACCTTTAACATATATTGAAATTGAGAAATTCAGGAGAAACTATAAAGCAAGTAAAATCAACCTCTAAAATCTCTATGTTTGAAAATGTTCCTTCTCAGCTACTGCTTAAAGATCACAATGATTAACAAAATGACAGACAGACCATAACAGGCAGCCCAAGACAGCAACTTATTATTTTTAATAAAAAAATAATTATAATTAATAACTATAATTAACAGTAAACATTATACAGGACCAAGGAGAGCTCCAGGGCCAAAACCAGAACTTTATTTCATTGTAAAATCTGATATCTGAAGGATTATTGTCCCATCTTAAGGAGGAACCATTTTCTAATAAGCAGTACCTAATGGGGTACTTTGTGACATTTTTGCAGGCATTCTGGCATCTCAGGAGAAGGAACAGGTGTATCCTACCTAATATCCATGCAAAGTATTCAAAGTTATTTATGACTATTCAAAAATAGAGCATACAAATAGAAGGCAAAGTACATACAGTGTGTGAAGGTTTGTTGTTCAGTCACTAAGCCTTGTCCAATTCTTTTCAACCCCATGGACCACAGTATACCAGCCCCTTCCCCCCATCTTCCACTGACTCCCTGAGTCTTTCCCTTCATACTCACTGTGTCTATGACACTATCTAACCATCTCATCCTTTGCTGTCCCCTTCTCCTTTTGCCTTCAGTTTTCCCCAACATCAGGGTCTTTTCCAATGAATCCTCCCTTCTCATTTGGTGGCCAATATATTTGAGCTTCAGCTTCAGTATCTGTCCTTCCAAAGGACAGTCGGGGTTGATTTCTTCTAGGATGTGTGAACAAGATTTGGGTAATTTCATTTCAGTGTATAATTATCACATCTCCTATTTGGCATTTCCCTTGACAGGATCTGGTATTTTGCTTTACTAAAAACTAAATGTTTAGCTTGACTAAAAGTGCTTACTATTTGCCTTTGGGAAAATAAAAAGCTTTGTTTGATAAAAGCTGTACTCCACACTGGATTCTTTTCTGAACACTGGATCCTGTCAAGAAATGCTTATACCATGAAACATCTATCCCCACTACTTCACCTATCTTAAAGGAACCTAAGAAAGTGAGAACATAATTGTTGTTTGTTTGTTTATTATATTTATATGCCGCCCTTTTACCCCGAAGGGGACTCAGGGCGGCTCACAACTCAAACCAGG